CGCCCCTGCGCCCGCGCCCGCCCCCGCCCCCGCCCCCCGCCCCCGCCCATCGGCCCCGGCCCCGCTGCTTATCCTGCTCCCGCGCGCGTGGCCCGCCTGTGGATCTTACCAAGTGAGCAACGCGTTGCCCAGTGATGTCAGGATGATAATTTTAGACGGGCTACTGGCCTAGTCATGATCTTCGGAGGCCTCGCTTCTCTTTCTCCGTTCGCGATTTTGTCATTGCAGAGGTCACTCGTGCCAAGCTAGGGGGCCATTAGCGTGTTTTTAGCCAGGTCCGAAGGTAATTATTGCGTGGCGCGTCCCTTTTTATGATTGCCAGGAAATCTTGCAGACCCTCTGACGGGTGGGGAGTGGCCGTGTATTTTTAGGGGATCCGCGCGGATTTCTTGGGCCGGCGCCAGGCCTCGCGCGGCGTCGTTTCCGGCGCCGCTCTCGTCGCGCTCCGCGCCGCGCGCCGGGGGGGGCGGCCCTGCGTCGACCCAGGGGCTTCGCGCGGACTTTTAATGTGCATGTGTGTGCAATTTGCTGCCTTTCTGCTGCGATGATGTCGTCTATCGAGCAGGGCTGTAGATCCCGCTCCGCTCGGCGCGCGCGCCTGAGCTGACGTGTCTTGCTCGAGGGGGCCCGGGCCAGAGTCTGAATGGGCCCCTTCGTGTGCGAGCGGGGGGCTTTGGCCGGCTTCGCGGGAAGCGCGCGCCCTCGGCCCGCGGCGAAGATGCGCCAGCAGTCGAGCGCAGACTTGCGCGTGGACAGTGATGACTTATTCGGCGCAAGGAATGGCAGGTCGACTCAGCCGCGAACCCGGGCGTGCATCGCGTCGCCGGGGGAGGGGCGCGGCCGAGCAACTGCGGCAGCCGCAGACGGTCGGGCGCGCCGCGAGGCATCTAGACGGGCGATGCGATTCGCTGCGCGGATGAGGAAGGCGCCTGGGGGCGAATGGTAAAAGAACCGTCGTCGACCGCTCGGCAGGGGTAGCGCCTGGCGCAAAAGGCGGCCACGCACCAGACGCGCTTCTCTCGAAACGTGCAGGATGGGGCAGATCTCGCTGAGAACGGGGCTGGTCCTCGCGCGCCGCGTCGCGCGGATCGGTGAATGCCGCGCTGGGAAGCTGACGACGAACGGGCGCCTCAGAAGGTGCAAGGACGTGCGTTCGGAAAACCGCTGTGCCCGAGGAGTGGGGGTCTCCATAGCGTGACATATGGAAGCGCGTGCGATAGCAATCGCGGTCCGCGGCCAATGCAGAATCGCTGGGCGGGCCCGCGCGACGCGGTCCATCCGATTGCTCTGCATGGCTAACGCCGCGTCTGTGGCCAGTTTCAAGGAGGGATCTGCCCGCTGCGTTGACAGCAGCGCGCGATTCGGCGAGGCTCATGTTGGCAAGATGCTCGGACAAAAACTGAGAGAGATACCCGCTGTCACCAGTAAGGGCGCCGCCCTCAGCCGCTGGCCCCCGCCTTTGACGATCGGACATGTCCGCGCTATGCTGGCATGTCCTGCCGCCGTTGTGAATGCGTTTGGGAAAACCGTGCGATGGCGATTGATATTCAGCAAACACGTTGAGATGTTGGGGGTGCTGTTGAAACCTTTGTTTCCTCTTTCGAACGTTGATCCATCGTGGTGTATTCTTACACTTGTTTGACGACTGGGTGCCGGTGCTTTCAATATGTTTGAGCAAGACTGTATGAATGGGGCTGTTTTTGTTCGTGGCGTCGGATCCAGCCTGGTTCTTTCAGGAAGCGTGTGGTGTTTGCGTGTGTGTGTGTGTATGTGTGTGTGCGTGCGTCTGAATGTGGTGCGGGACCTTCGGCGGCCATTGAAAACTCGGGCGTTCTTCGTCGCCCGCGCGCGTTTGCTGGTTTATGACCTTCTCCTCCCCGTCGCCCCACGCAGGGCCGCGGCGCCAAAAGTGTGTGTATGTGTGTGTGTGTGTGTGTGCGTGTGTGCGGGGTGGGGGGGCGAGAAACGCTACCCGAGCAAACGGGACAGTACGTTAGCGCGCTCTGGGGAGGGGGTGAGAGGGCGGTTGGGGGCAGCGTCTTTTGGGTGGGCCCGTTGCTTCGGGAACGCGAGCCTGGGGCAGCTTGCACTGCGCAGTTCTGGGCCTTTCGTAATTAGATCGTCGCCTCCTGACTGGGCGTCTGGCGCGATTTTCGACGTAGTTGGGCCTCGGAAGCGCGAGTCCTGTGCTATTTACACGAGTCTGGCCTCGGGCCCCGCGTGATTTTCGAAAGGGTTCTGGTTTCCGGAACGTCAGCGTGGCGGCATGTACAACGAAATCGTTATCTTTTTACCTGCGGGTGACACGTGTTCCCCCTCCCGTACCCCGCGTGGGACGGCATCGCTTGCAAGCCGAGCGCAAGCGTGAATTTTTGTAATTTCAAGAACCAGTGTAAGGAGTACGCAAGATGCAGTGCACGGCGGTGTACACGCACAAACTGTTGCGTACGTGTTCGTTGTAGTGCACATGGCCACTGGTAGTGCACGCAGGCGCTGCGGTGTTCCAGGCGTTGTGATGCACGGAAGCATTGTGGTGTCTGCAGGCGTTGTGGTGCCCACGGCTGATGTGGTAATATGCAGGCGTTGTGGTGCACGCAAGCGTTGCGGTGCAGCAGAAGCAGGACGATAAGGAGGAGGCGGAAAGGGGAGTAGGATGTGGGAAAGGGGAGAGAGTTTCGCAGCTTGGTGTGGCCTCACTGTGCTCGGGCCGGTAGGTTCCCTATACGCCCGCGGTGTCGCGTCGGCCGTGGTGGACGGCAGTTTGGTCAGCTACGTGGGCCGCGGTGCGAACCCGGCTCGCGCCTCCATGGACGCGGTCTCCGTTGACGCGGGCTGCCTGTGGGTCTCCCGCCGGCTGGCGCAGGATCGCGGTTCGGCATTTGGTTCTGACTGTTCGAGGCCATCGACGCCTGAAGGCTGGCGTGGTTCTTGGGTACCCGATCGCCCACTCGCGGCAAGTACTCCATGTACAACGAGGCCATGGTGGTCACCTACCTAGTCCCTCGCCTCTGAGCTGTTCCGCGTGTGTTTCTCAGTCAAAGCTCCTTTCGCCGTTCTTCCGCCTTTTTCGCTTTCTTTCTTTTCTTTTGTCTTCTTCGCTCGCGTCGCTCTCTCCTGCTTCGCCTCGTTTTCGCCGCTCTTGCGCAGCCTCTGCGTAGTGGCCTTGCACATGTTCCTATGTCTTGCACTTGCGCGGCTTCGCGCTTCGCTTGACCTGTCGACGCCGCGCGGGTGCCCGCTCGCGGTCGCGATCGAGATCGAAAAAGTCGCCTCAGCGTTGGGGGGCGCGTCTGCGGGCTTTCGTCGTCGTCCGTTGTATCTTCTTGCTGCGCACAGTTCGTTGGCGCAGAGCACAGGCGCAACGGCGACCCCGGCGCGGGCGTTCAAGGCTGCGACACGTTCAGGGGGGGGGGCTTTTCGGGGTCCGCGATTTTCAGAAACAAGCGATTCCATGGTTCACCATTGGGCCGAGAGCTTCCGGTTGCGCAAATCGATCAAGATTGAACAATCCATGCGGCGTGAGAAACACTTTCCCAACGTGTCGCGATACGGACATACCGTACAGCCGACGCCCCCGACTTTCCCCCCGCCCCCCGCCTTCCTTTTACTTCCTCTCCCACGTGCTCCCAACTCCCCCCCGCCTGTCTCCACCTGTGCCGACGTCTCCCCAAAATCTCCCACCTCCCCCCGCGTCCTCCCGAGTCCCACTTCCTCCCATCTCTTCCCGCCTCGCCCTCCTGATTCCTCCTGCCTCCGCTTTGTGGCGTGCGCAGGCACTGTGGTGCACATTGTGCTGCGGTGTACACAGGCGCTGTGGTGTACACAAGCATTCTGGAACACGCGTGCGCCATGGTGTACACAGGCGCTGTTGCGCACGCGGCTGCGGCAGTGCGCACAGGCAGTGCGGTTTACACTGGCGACGTGGTGCTGTGGTGCGCGCTGCTTGTGTGGTGTACGGAGGCACTGGTGTACGTGGGCGGCGCTGTGTTGCACACAGGCAGTGGGCATTGTTCGTGTGCAGGGAGTGGCACGCAGGCGGTTGGGCGTTATCGTGTAGACAGTGATTGTGGTACACATGCGCGATTGATGTGCTAGTGGCTCGGATTCATTCTGGCGGGTGCATGCCGCGGCCGCCGTTACCGTTGCCCTCCCGCCCCTGGCGACACGCGTTACGCACAATGGTTGGAAACATGATTTCAAGGGATTGCGGCTTCGCAGTTTGGTTTCGGGAGTGCGCGCTTGTTGTATGTGACAAAGGATTGTGGTTCCAGGAACGCGATACTGGAGTAATGTGCGACGGATTTCGGGCTCGGGAGCGCGAACTTGTTGTAATGTACGTGTTGTTCTTGTCATGGGAGCGCGAGTCTGATGTAAGTTAAAGGCGATTTTGTAAGCGAGGGCGCGAGCCTTGACATTCGGTTATTGGGGGCGCGATTCTGGAGCAATTCTCAAGGAGCTCTGGTTTCTGGAACGCGATTTTCGTAATTTTGAAAAAGGGTTGTGACCCCAGGAGGGCGGAGCAGGCGTAATGTACAATCAAATGTGGCTTCGGTAGCGCGAATCTGGCGTAACTTACCAGTGATCTTGCTCTCGGGACCGCGAACCTGACGCGCTTTACAAAGGATTTGGGCATCGAGATCGCGCGCCTGGCGTCATTTACTAAGGATTCTGGTCTCTTTAGCGCGAGAGTGGCATAACTGTTTTCAAAGGATTCTGGCCCCGGGAACGCGAACTTGGCGCAATCTACGAAGAACAGCTGCTAGGGTGCGCGAGTCCCGCTTCTTTCCGCGTGCCCCAGACACCACGCCACGCCATTCGGAGACGATCCGCGGCTCTTTTTCGGCCCCCGCTCACGTGGGAGCAACATCTCACATTGCGAAGCAGAGAGCATGCTTGTCTTATTGGGCACTGGGAATTGGAACCAGAGCAGGGTGCAGGAGAGCCCTCCGGCACGCAGACTGGTGACCCCACACTGGTGCGGGCCTCCCCGGGGGCCCCAGGCGGACCGCGACAACAACGTGGACCGCACCCCGACCTGGGCGAGGGACCAGGTCCAGGCCCCCCAGAACATCGGGTGTTGCTCCAGGTCGGCAGCACGCAGAGGGGGGCAGGGTGAGGGGGGAAGGCTTCTTAGAGGCACCCCTGCTTCTTAGAAGGGGCGGGCCCTCTCTGTGGACGCAGGGCCGTCGCCCTCTCAGAAGCAGGCTCCTTCTAAGAAGCCTTTCCCCCTCCCCCTACCCTCCTGTGCGCGCCGCCAGGAACGTGCCCCTGGCCCGAGGTGCCCTCAGCATTTCGCAGAATTTTGGAGCCCCTGGGGCCCTTTGGGCCTCGCGAGGGGTGCTCTGGAGGCCGTGGGGGCCTCTATGGAAATCCTGGGGGCACCTGGGGCCAGGGGCACTTCCAGCAACACCCGAGAAAGGAGGAGGGTGGTCAGGGGTGGGGAGCATCGGACGGACCTAGAATCGAGATGGAACTGTTCAAGAGCGTTCCGGAACGCTCTTTGAGCGTTGCGGCATGCCCTGGAATTGCCGCGGCGCTCGACACATCCTCCGATCCTGCCGATCCTGCCGATTCAGAGACTTCCAGTTTATATCGGTCCGATTGTGTCTCGAGTCTGTCTCCGTCTCATGGGCAGAACTTGTAACGCCTCGGGTTGCGCACAGGGCGCCCCTGGGGCGCTTCGCGCCCCAGGGATTGAGGTGTTGAGACCGCCCCAGGCTGCTCGGGGAGCCTGTGGAGGCCAGCTGGAACTGCTCAGGGGTCTCGTTGAAGACAGCCGTGACTACCTTTGGGTGGCTCTCAGTGCGCAACCCGAAGCTTTAGAAGGTGAGAAGGCGGAGCAAGAGGATGAGGGAGAGAGCTGGGAGGGGCAGAGAGCATCAGCGACCTGCGCGTCGCCTTTCCAGCTGTGCGTGCTGCCCAGTCATTTTCTGTACGACATCCCTGCACTGCTTTCAACAGGCGTGGCATTGATATTGCTCTTGCTCTCCGAGAGAAGGAAGAGGATGCTGGGGAGGGGGAGGGGAGGAGGAGGAGGAGGAGGAGGAAGAGAAGGATGAGGAGAAGGAGGAGGAGGAGGAGGAGGAGGAGGAGTGAAGGCTACGACCGACGATCTTTCCAGCTATCAGTCCTCAGTAATCAGGAGGAAGAGTTGGCCGAGGGGGCTTGGGGTAAGCGAGGTTCCAAGGTCGCGCCCTGTCTTCGCTGCATCGGCGACGCGGTGCGCTCTCGGAGACCATTCCCTCTCCCGTTCCCCATCCCCCCTTGCCCTGCCTATCCCACTCCCCTGTCCTCCCCTCATCCTCCCCACTTCTGCCCTCCCTCCTCCCCCCTCGTAGCGGGGGATGACGCGAAGGAGGGAGCAAGAGGGGAAGGGAGGAGTAGGCCGCAGATGGAGAAGGGAGTAGTGGAAGGAGGAAATCACGAGGATGAGGAGGATGAGGGACGGTGAAATGAATAGGAGGATGGGAGGATGGAGGATGGAAGGGTGATGATGGTGATGATGATGATGATGATGATGGTGATGATGATGATGATGCTGATGATGATAATGATGATGACGCTGATGTTGTTGATGGCGACGATGACGATGACGCGTACCATGCGGATGATTACGATGTCGATGACAATGACGACGATGATGATGATTATGATGATGCTGCTGATTATGATGAAGAAGGTGGCGATGATGGTACTGATTAGTATTATGATTGTGATGGTACTGACGATGGTGTTGAAGCCAGTCGTGTTGATGATGACAGTGACGGTGATGATGATCACGACGGTTGTGATGGGGTAAGTGACAGCGATCACGGTGGTTGTGATCATGTGTTACGGTGGTGCCGATGACGGTGAGGGGGATTTTGGTGGTGACTGCGACGACGATAGTGACCATGATGATGCTGGTGACGTTGTTGCTGATACGCTGCCTTTCAGGCAGTCTGGAGCTGTGCTCTGCATTTGCTCACATCGAGCGCGCACGCATCGCATCGGTGCTCGGGGATAGGGGTGCATCAGGGTAAAGTCCTTAATCGGGGGGCCTACGGGGCAGCTCGAGCCTAAATGGATCCGATGAGAATTGCGATGGCGCTTGTGGTGGTGGTGATGCTGGTGTTTGTGCTGATGACGATGACGTGACGATGACGATGACGCTGGCGATGATTACGACTTCGCTGGCGACGGTGACGACGGTGACTACGACGACGACGATGACGACGATGACGACGATGGTGACGATGACGATGCTGATGATGAAGAAGACGAAGAAGATGATGATGACGATGAGGATGGTGGTGATGTTGTTGATGATGATGCTGATGATGAGCATGATGATGATGATGATGATGATGATGACGATGGTGATGACGATGATGATGATGATGATGATGATGATGATGATGATGATGATGATGATGATGCGGCTGAGTGTTACTGATGACGATGGCGATGCTAAGGATTATGTTGGTGGTGATGATGCTGATGACGATGACGATGGCGGCGATACTCTTGATGTCATTGATGCGGCTGCTTACGACAGTGACCGTGGTGGGCTGGTGGTGGTGATGATGGAGATGACAATATCGCGGAGGGTGCTGACGATAACGAAGTTGATGTTGATGCGATTCGGAAGATGATGGTGTCGATCGTCCTGTCGATGATGATGGCGACGATCACGAAGACGGGACTGAGGGTTATGATGATTCCAACTCCTCTTGTGATGGGTTCTCGTTTTGAATCGAGCGCTGTGGTCGAGTTACCCTTCTCCCCCCCTGCCCCTTGCCTCCTACTTCCTGCCTCCTGTCTCCTCCTCCTTCTCCTCCTCTTCCCTTCTCTCCTCTGTCCTGCTTGTGCCGCCTGTCCACTCTCGTGCGAGGCTCTCCCGGGCGCCCGGAGTAGAGTGGTACGCAGACACAGTTTTGGATCCCACGGCTCCCTGCGTGGCTGCGAATTGCGCAGTCGTAGGCTCCTGGGAGGTCCAGCGGGGTGGAGTGGTAAACAGACACAGTTGGGGTCTCGAGGTTTCCCGCGTGGCTGCGAAGTGCGCAAGTTTCGCAACGTTCGTGGGGTCCTGGGAGGTCGCGCGGAGTGGAGTGGTACGCAGACCCAGTTGGGACCTCGTGGGGCCCTGCGTGGCTGCGAAGTGAGCATTTGTCGCCACGTTCGTGGGCTCCTGGGAAGTCCAGCGGGGTGGAGTGGTACGCAAACCCAGTTGTGACCTCGCGGCTCCCCTGCGTGTTGCGAATTGCGAATTGCGCATCGCTCGCTACTCTCGTGGGCTCCTGGAAGGTCCAGCGGTGTAGATAGAGTGGGACGCAGAACCATTTGGGTCCTCGCGACTCCCTGCGTCGCTGCGAAGTGTGCTCACTACGTTCGTGGGCTCCTGGGCGGTCCAGCGGGGTGGAGTGGTACGCAAACCCAATTGGGACCTCGCGGCTCCTTGCCTGGCTGCGAAGTGCGCACGTGTCGCCACTTTCGTGGGCTCTTGGAAGGTCCAGCGGGGTGGAGTGGTACGTCGACCCAGTTGTGACCTCGCGGCTCCCTTGCGTGGCTGCGAATAGCGCAAGTCTCAGCACTTTCGTGGGCTGCTGGGAGGTCCAGTGGCGTGGCGTGGTACGCAGACCCAGTTGGGACCTTGCGGCTCCCTGCGTGGCTGCGAAGTGCGCATGTGTCGCCACTTTGGTGGGCTCCTGGGAGGTCCAGCGGGGTGGAGTGGTACGCAAACCCAATTGGGACCTCGCGGCTCCTTGCTCGGCTGCGAAGTGCGCATGTGTCGCCACGTTCGTGGGCTCCTGGGCGGTCCAGCGGCGTGGAGTGGTACGCAGACCCAGTTGGGACCTCGCGGCTCCCGGCGTGGTTGCGAAATGCGCGTGTGTCGCCACTTTCGTGGGCTCTTGGAAGGTCCAGCGGGGTGGAGTGGTACGTCGACCCAGTTGTGACCTCGCGGCTCCCTTGCGTGGCTGCGAATAGCGCAAGTCTCAGCACTTTCGTAGGCTGCTGGGAGGTCCAGTGGCGTGGAGTGGTACGCAGACCCAGTTGGGACCATGCGGCTCCCTGCGTGGCTGCCAAGTGCGCATGTGTCGCCTCTTTGGTGGGCTTCTGGGAGGTCCAGCGGGGTGGAGTGGTACGCAAACCCAATTGGGACCTCGCGGCTCCTTGTCTGGCTGCGAAGTGCGCATGTGCCGCCACGTTCGTGGGCTCCTGGGCGGTCCAGCGGCGTGGAGTGGTACGCAGACCCAGTTGGGACCTCGCGGCTCCCTGCGTGGCTGCGAAGTGCGCACGTGTCGCCACTTTCGTGGGCTCCTGGGAGGTCCAGCGGGGTGGAGTGGTACGTCGACCCAGTTGTGACCTCGCGGCTCCCTTGCGTGGCTGCGAATAGCGCAACTCTCAGCACTTTCGTGGGCTGCTGGGAGGTCCAGTGGTGTGGAGTGGTACGCAGACCCAGTTGGGATCTTGCGGCTCCCTGCGTGGCTGCGAAGTGCGCATGTGTCGCCACTTTGGTGGGCTCCTGTCCAGCGGGGTGGAGTGGTACGCAAACCCAATTGGGACCTCGCGGCTCCTTGCTCGGCTGCGAAGTGCGCATGTGTCGCAACGTTCGTGGGCTCCTGGGCGGTCCAGCGGCGTGGAGTGGTACGCAGACCCAGTTGGGACCTCGCGGCTCCCGGCGTGGCTGCGAAATGCGCGTGTGTCGCCACTTTCGTGGGCTCTTGGAAGGTCCAGCGGGGTGGAGTGGTACGTCGACCCAGTTGTGACCTCGCGGCTCCCTTGCGTGGCTGCGAATAGCGCAAGTCTCAGCACTTTCGTGGGCTGCTGGGAGGTCCAGTGGCGTGGCGTGGTACGCAGACCCAGTTGGGACCTTGCGGCTCCCTGCGTGGCTGCGAAGTGCGCATGTGTCGCCACTTTGGTGGGCTTCTGGGAGGTCCAGCGGGTTGGAGTGGTACGCAAACCCAATTGGGACCTCGTGGCTCCTTGCCTGGCTGCGAAGTGCTCATGTGTCGCCACGTTCGTGGGCTCCTGGGCGGTCCAGCGGCGTAGAGTGGTATGCAGACCCAGTTGGGACCTCGCGGCTTCGTGAGGTCGTTGCGAAGTGCGCACGTGTCGCCAATTTCGTGGGCTGCTGGGAGGTCGCGACGAGAAATGCAACCGATGACAAGTACTCGCATTCAAACTGGCAGAGGATCCCTTCGCGCGCGGCGCTGTCCCGTCATGCAGCGCGCGTCGTTGTTGCATCGCAGCTCGCAGGGGGCCGTTGCGCCACGAAGCGCATGGCGTTGTTTTGTCCGCGTAGCCTCCCATCCTCAGCTGCCTCTGGCCTGACGCGCTGTTCTGCTATAGACCGAGTGGATGGCGCCGTTCTTTTCCGCGTATTTACCGCTCTGCCCTGTTGCTGTTATTGAATAGGTATGTCACTCTTTCACACCCCTCCGTTTGCTTCCGTCTCCGTCTCCGTCGTGGTTTCCCCCTGCATGCTTTGTGGCGTAGTTCTGGGGGCTCATGCGCACAGCGGGTTCTTCATTTCGTTTGCTTGCAGGGGTCGGCCATATTTTTATTTCTGTGTGTATGCATGTATGCATGCATGCATTTATGTATGTATCGGTGTATGTATGTATGCACGCATGCCTGTATGCATGTATCTTTTACGTATGTATACATGTATGCATTCATGCATGCATGCATGCACGCATGCATGCATGTATGAATGTATGTATATTTGTGTGCCTATATGTACACAATTATGTTATGTATGTATGCATGTATGCATGCATGCATGCATGCATGTATGTATGTATGTATGAATGTATGTATGTATGCATGTCTATATGTCTGTCTGTCTGTCAGTCTGTATTTCTGTCTGTCTATCTGTCTGTACGCATGTATGTGTGTATGTATGTATGTATGTATGCATGTATGTATGCATGTATGTATGTATTGATACTTACATACGTTTGCCATCGTGTTTAGAGCGGGTTGGACATATCACCGGGTAAATTCGTTCGTGACAGCAATCATGCTGTTCTTGCGTCTTATCACACTGATGTCGGTGCTGGTGATGATTTGGGCGATGGCGATGATGGTGGCGACGATGCTGATAGTTGTTTTGATACAGACGACGGCGATGGTACTGTTGGTGGCGTCGATGACAATGGTGAGGATCATCGCGATTGCGATGGTGTCGATGTTGAAATTGATGTTGATGATGCTGATGAGATGGCGATGATGGTGGCGATGGTGATGGAGACGGGGATCGGGTCGACGATGATTACGATGAGTGAGATGATGTTGTTGATGTCGACCAGGATTGGCTGCGATGGTGAGTGATGGTTGTTGTGGTGGTGATTTGGAGGCGAAGGAACTGAAGGAAGGCAATGGGCAAGAGGAACAGGAGGACAGCGGGGAGGAGGAGGCGGAGGAGGAGGAGGAGAAGGAGAAGGGGGAGGAGGAGGAGGAACAGGAAGAGTTGGACCCCCCGCCAGGTCGGCTTCGGGAGCCTGTCGCTCCCCATGGTGACGAAGAGGACCGGATATAAGAGGGGGCGCCCCCCCCGCCCCTCAAGCGAGGAGGGGATGGCCGAGGAGGGGGAGGAGGAAGGAGGACGACGGCGTGGTCGGCATTAGTCATTTTGAAGGTTTTCGGGGTGTCTGCGGGCTCTCTTTGCCATGGCTGGGCGCAGCTCGAACAGCAGGGCAGCCTGGACTCCGGGAAGGGTGCGGGAACCCGTCCTGAAAGGTGTTTGGGCGGACGCCGCGGATCCACAGGATGCGAAGATCCGTGCTTATATGATCCAGGTTGCCCCCCCGTCACCCCCCAATGCATATGGGATCGAGCCCCCCCGTCCCCGCTGGATGGGAAGGCCCTTGAGCTTCGCGCAGGCCTCGCGAATGGGATCCCATGGGCGTGGCGTGGTGGAAGGTTCTGGTGCACCGCCCCTCCCTTCCACTGGGTGTGGGGTGGCTCGTCGTCGTCGTCGTCGTCGTCGTCGTCGTCGTCGTCGTCGTCGTCGCCCTCGGCGTGGACGTTGGCATTGACGTCGGTGTCAGCGTCGGCGTCGGCGTCGGCGTCATCGTCGTCGTCGTCGTCCTCCCCATCCCATCTTCGGGGGGGGCCTGAGACGCGAGGCGGGGGACCCGGGACGGGGCTTTCCACAGCGCATGGGAGGAACTGGGGGCCCCTGGGGGCCTTGCGGGGGTGCCAGGGGCTTTTTTAAAACAGAGCTCTTAGGTCGTCTTGGGGCCCTCTTGGCAGCCTCTTGGGCTATGTTTGGGATGGATTTGGGGCCTCTTGGGCCGTCTTGGGGCGTCGGGAAGTCGGAAAATTCGAGAAGGCCAACATCCTTCAAAACACCTCAGGATAATTACTGACTTTTGCCTCTTGGGGCTCTCTCGGGCTGCCTTTTGGAAGCCTCTTCGGGCGTCTTGGGGGCCTCTTGGGGGCCGTGTTGGGCCCATCTTGGGCGTCTTGGAGCGATCATTGGGCTTCTCGGGGCCCTCTTGGCGGCCTCTTGGCGTCGTCACCCCCCAGGCGAATCGCGGCACGCCCGGGAGACTTGAGAAACTGGGGTCTGGGTCCCGAAACGACTCCTCTGGGCTGAGGACTGGGGCTCAGGGGATTGGGCAAAGGACCTGAGCACACGCCCTTTCCGTGCCCAGAGGCACGGTACCGTGGCGGACACACGCGCACACCCACCCACACCCACCCACCCACCCATTCTAAAGCGAGCTGAGGGACGTAAGGAGTGGAAGCGAGCGTGCGCCCGCGGCCGCGGCGGCTCAAGCGGCCGGCCGCCCAAATTTGACTGTGCCTCACTGCGAGGCACACAATCGCTATCGAGACCAAAAGGATCTTCCTATTGCTTGAGATGGCATCTCCTCTCATTCTGGGACTATCGTGACTACCGTACAACAGAGCGGGAGCTTGGCTTCGCCTGAGGCGAAGCTGTCGGTTGGGCCTGCCAGCCCCCTGCAAACTTGGTAGCGGAGCTGGCTTATGGTGGTCAGCTCTTGCTCTACTCCTCACCATCCACGGTACTATCTGGTGGACTACAGATATGGTGGAACATCAGGGTGCACTGGGATTGCGCGGAGGAGTGTATATAACTGCGCAGCACCGCAAAGAAACTTGCAGCGATACCTCTGCCCAAGCGGAGGTCTCTTGCTCACCTCTTACATCCCTGCTCTACTACGCTCCTGCAGTCCACCCACCTACTCCAATTTGAAATTTCTTCGAAGACATAATGCATGGAACCATGCGATACGACATACTGCCGCCTCCGACCCCTACGCAGACTTACGACTAAACAGCATCAGTCCCAACCGACTACATCCGACTATGACCTACGAGGCCATTGGATTTGGGTTACTATCTTTGGGCTCATATTGGTCGCTATTGGGTGTGCGGTAGGACACATGCGGGGCGGAGACGACACAAGAACGACCGGCCCCCATTGGGACCCCGCCGGTCAGGCACCATTTCGCCAAGTCGTCCGCGAAGTACATGCCTGGATCAATGTGACCATAGGCAACGGGACGCCCTCCCAGCAAGCCGCAGCATTGCAGCGAATTTTGGGTGGTCTCGCGCGGACTATAGCCATGAGGGTCCCCCCAGCACTTCTTAATTTTGGCGTCAATATAGGCGGTCGCCACACCGACGGCGTCACCTACATTATGCTCCTCTTAAGCACGAAGTTCGAGAACCTAGAAGAGGAACGCCAACTCAACTTTGGTACGGCTCTTATTGGCTTCCGAGTCCATGCGGGTGAACGTATCGCCCAGACGTTGGCACGGTTTGAGATAGCCCGCTACGAAGCTGTAGCCGCCGGCTTCAACACCTCCAACTTCCAAATCCTAACAGTAATTCGATTCAGAGCTCCTGGAGTGGGGATATCGCGTGTACAACAATTCCTGCAGCCTCTGAGCCACCACATGCCGAGGGACCAACAACAATTCTAGACGTTTCGCGTATCCCCACCAGCCTATCCAGAAACGATGCCCAGGCGAATGGAAGTGATCAGGGGGTGAGGGAGCATACAAGTAACACAGGGCCGGGGAACCCGCCTTACCGAACACGGCGAGGATGGAGGAGGAATCGGAGAAGGATAAGGAGGAGGAGGAGGAGGAGGAGGAGGAGGAGGAGGAGGAGGAGGAGGAGGAGGAGGAGGAGGAGGAGGAGGAGGAGGAGGAGGAGGAGGAGGAGGAGGAGGTGGAGGAGGAGGTGGAGGAACTGAAGGAGGAGGAGGACGGGGAGCGGGAGGAGGGAGGAGGGAGGAGGAATAATAGGCGGATGAGGAGGAGCAGGAAGAGCAGGAGGAGGAGGAGGAGAAGGGCGAGCAAAATGGCCAGAGCCTTCTTGGATGCCTCTTGGAGTCTCTTCGGATGTCTCTTGGGAGCGTCCTGAAGGACTCTTAGGGCGTCTATGGAGCGTCTTGGCGGTCCCGGAGGCCTCTTGAAACGTCTTGGGTGCCTCGGGGGACCTCTTGAGGCCCTCTTGGGGGTCTCTTGGGAACCCCTTGGGGGCCTCTTGGGGGCCCTTTGGGGCCTCCTGGGCGCCTCTTGAGGCCCTCTTGGGGCGCTCTTGGGGGCCTTGGGGGCGCTCTTGGGGCCATCTTGGAGGAGATCGATCAAAGAAAAGGAGGGTCCGGATTTGCCCTGCCCCTCTAGAGCGCCTAAAATCGCCTCTTGGGCCCCTCTTGGAGCGCTCTCGGGGCGCTCTTGGGCCGTCTTGGGGCCCTCTTGGGGCCCTCTTGGGGCCCTCTGGGGGCATCTTGGAGCCATCATGAGGCCTCCTGGGAAAGCTAGTTGGCCTCTTGGGGCCGTCTTGGGGCGGTCTTCGGGCCTATTGGAGCATCTTCGAAGCCATCTTGAGGCATCTGAGGCTAGCTTGAGCAATCTTGGAGCTCATCTTGGGCTCCCCGAGGCGCTCTTGGAGCCATCTTGGGCCATCTTGGACGCTCCAACTACCAGCGAAACCTCCCGTCCAGGTCCAGGGGAGGGGGGTAGGGGGAGGGGTAAGCCCTTCCCCGAAGGGGAAGAAAGGGGGTTGGAAGAGGAAATTCCCTAAACCACCTACGCCCAGAGGGCTGGTGGGGTTTGACGCTCTACTTGAACGTATGAGGTCATGTGCTCACACAGCTGAAAAGGGCCCCGGGCAATATTGGTGGTATTTTTAGTCACGGTCACCGAACCGAAACCTTCCACGTAGAGGCCAACGCAGGGCAACCTGCCAACAGCGTCTGGAACGATGATCCACAGTCAGCTGAGACCACTACATTGCTGGCTCAGAATGGTGGAGCGGCCTCGGGGTCGCAAGACTCCTGGGCCAGACCTACGGGACCGCCTGACGCGGCTTCCCTTATACAAGCTATGAGCCTACTGGGCTCAGCGGGGCAACCCGCCGAGTCCGACTTCGATTCCGGTGCCGATGCGGCTGCGTCATCCGATGACGAAGTTACCGCCCTGGATTACTCCGATATGCCTACATACCTGACTGAAGAGCAACAAGCTCAATGGTTATTTTTGGGCTATCAAAAACACAAGCGTCGTTGGCGGAGGTTCGTGAAGAAACCAGTCCGAAAAGTAAGACGTATTGCGCGACGATCACCTAAAGGAAAAGGCAAGGGTCGAAGTATAGGCCAAGGTAAACGCCGGCGATTGCATGGTAGAGGCGCACTAGCTTTCTCAGCGTCTCTTGCTGGACCTCAGTACGAAGAGGTGTTTTTTGGTACTGGCAGAAACCTCCGGCATACATCAGGCAAAGGTAGGGGGCGGCGAGGAAATCCAAAGGATGCCAACGGTAAAACTATGGAGTGCGACATATGCCACGGCGCGCGACATTTCCGACGCGAGTGCCCCCAAGGTGATAGAAGGGGCAAAGGTCCGTCAATCCATCTGGCTCATACGGACTCCGACATGCAGTATGTTGATTGGGAGTCGCTTTTAGCCGACCTTTCCGACGGCTCAGCCACAATGGTTCATTTCATGGCTGCGGGGTATCTAAGTGCCAGCATGACCCTCGAGGATTACGCCGATGAGCTGTTCGAGGAGGTGTCATTGGCCACAGTGACATCGACTTGGCAGAATTCGCGGGGCAACCTGCCTAAATTGAGTTTGTCGAGAACTTCCACATGCCCGTCGAAGGTGACTTTGGCATGGCGGGGGTGCCCGCGGACTCAGCATCTACCATTCCTGCTACAGATGAGGAAGTACATGCGATGCTCTATCCTCGGGTGATTGGAAATCCGACAAACATGGGGAGAATCGATGATGATCCTCTGCGGGGGAACCCGCGCGACGCTGGTGATCTATCTTGGCGTGTTCAATGTGAGCTTGGTCACCATTTCAGTGCACTTTTGTTTGAGATCGATCCGTCAGCCGGCGCGGGAACCCCACGGGCCCCGCCATGGCAGGCGACTAGACCGCATGCCCCACCCGAGGGGGGATCGCATGCGGGGGGGCCCGCCACGAGGTGACCAGCGGCGCGGAGGAGAATATCAAGATGGTGACATACAGCGTCTGCAAGGCTACACTGAAGCTGCATTGGCTCGTCAGTGCATACCCGCACGCCAGATGGAATACTGGCTGGCTCAGGGTTGGAACGAGCATCGCATTCGGCGCTGGTATTTTCTTCGCCAGGTCAATTCAGATGACGCAGGCAATGTCAGGCGTTCAGAGGCGGGGCCTACCAAATCACAAGATAAGATGGTCACGCGTGGTATGAACAGGGCCATCAGTGAGGATCGAAAGCTCTACAGAGGCGCATGTTGCACGTGCCCCAGTTATGCTGG